AGAGAGAGAGATGCATCGAGATGCGGAGCCTGGGATGGGCCTGGCCAGGGGCGGTGGCTGGGTATAGATAATCATCGCTGCGCCCCTGGTCCAACGGGGCCTCGGCGTCGCCGCGAGCCGACAACGCGGCACTGGGGCACGCGATGCGCGCGACAGCGGACCACCGCTGCCGCCAAAACATCGCAGCGGACCTCGGGAAGGCTAGGCCCTGGGGGTCGTCAGCCTGCAGTCGACCGAACCCGCCGCCCCAACGTGCAGCCGGAGATTGGGAGTCCAGCGAAGGCGGTTCTACCTCTCCCCTGCGGTCATGGCCAGGGCATGCCCTCGACCAGCGTCGCGCGACGCCGAGGCAGCAGCCAGCCTCGGTCGTAGCAGCCCCCGTGCCTGCAGTGGCGCCCACGAGGAGGCCCCTTCCCGGCGGCTTCGGGGCAGCGAGGAGCAGCTCCCCGATGCCGACCCGCGCAGGCGAGCCCGACAGCACGCCCAGGCGCTGCCCGGCGTCCGCGGAAGGCGAGTGGCCGTTCACCTCCCTGGCGTTGGGCAGTGGGGGGCGATTTGGGCCGCGATGAATGGGGGGGGCGATAAATGGGGGGGTATGCAGCGAAGGCTGCAGAAAAGGGGCCCTCGAGGGCCCCTAGAGGGGCCCTTCCAGAAGGGGTCTGTAGGGCCCGAAAAGGGCATTTTTTTTCCCCCTCGATTTATCTCCCCCTCATTAAGCAACGCCCAAGCGGTAAACGTGCGGGTGAAGAAAGGCGCACATTGGAGGCCCGAAAGGGGCCCCGCGAGGGGCCGAAGGGGGTTCCAAGACGGACCCAAGAGCGCCCACGAGCGCCCCCAAAGGGGGCTCAAGAGACAAGCGCTCTGGCCCCAGAGGGGCAAGGCTGATTCAGAACCCCCTGGAGACCAGAAGGGGCAGGAACGGTGAACGTTTCGTCGCCCCCCCCAACTACAGTCAACCCGCATAGTACGGATGAGCAGCTTTCCAAGGCTACCCTTGCATCCTGTCCCCTTCGGCCCATCCTTAGCTGCTTTCGCTGGCCAGCCCCACTCGAAGAACGTCGACTCGCTGGCCGCGCCCCGCTCGCAAAGTGTCGGCAGGGCCTTGCATCCTTACCGCGCATCCTTATTGCACGGGTTGGCTCTATCTCAGAGCGTGAATTACCTACCCCGCTTTCGCTTCCAGGCAAAACCAAGCCATACCACGCGCCTCCTCGTCAAGCGGCCTGACCAGTACAGGCTGCAATTTGGCATCGTTTGGTATCTCTTGGAAGCGGGGGTGGTCAAAAGCGAGGTAGGTTTGTTTTCCCCCTACTATCGCCCCCACCCCCAAAAAAAAACTACGCCACGCCCAGGCAGCGGAGGCGCGCAGGGCGGGAGGATCGCCCCCAAGGGGGGGCTTCTGCACCGCGAAGCCTGTCGCGGCTGCGCCCTGCGGCGCGAAAGGGGGCGCGGCCCCTCGCAGGCGAGGTGGGGGGAGGAGGGGGAGGAAGAGGAGGAGGAGGAGGAGGAGAAGGAGGAAGAGGAGGAGGAGGAGGAGGAGATGAAGGAGGAGGAGGAGGAGGAGGAGGCGGGGGAGGAGGGGGGGGACAAGCTAGGTGCGCTCGCGTCATATCTGACATCCTACCCCTCCCTCCCATCCCTTACCAGGGCGTAGATCACCTCTCTACTCGCACAGTCGGATGTCGAGCAGGGCAATGATCCCGAGAGGGTACGCGATGCATTGTAGAGCACGGCATGGCATGGCGCAGAAGAGCACCGCAAAGCGTAGTATGTCACAGCATGGCGTGGCGTGGCGTAGTGAAGAATTGCATCACAAAGCTTTGCACCGCAAAGCATGGCATCGCACAGCGGCCCCGAACATAACATTGCACAGCATGGCGTTGAAGATCAAAGCGTAGCATGGCATAGCATGACGTGGCACTGAAGCACTGGATATGACAGCTGCAGCTGAAGGCATGGCATCGCGCAGCGGAACGCAACCTAGCATTGCATTGCATGCCGTGGCATGGCACGGGAAATGACGCCAGCGCTGCAGCGGGAGCACGATTCGGAACGAGCGGAAGCGCGGAAATGAGGCCAGCGCTACAGCGGGAGCACGATTCGGAACGAGCGGAAGCACGGAAACCCTCGCCTCAGCAAGAGCATCATTTTGCCAACAAAAAACGAAAACCCAACTCCGGAAACGAAAACCCAACTCCGGCAAAACCTGCGTGTAAAAAACAGTACGCCATCAGGGGATGGAGGAGAGTAGTATTCATATTGTGTAGCTGTGGAGGAAAAGGAGGTGGGGGGAGGAGGGGGAGGAAGAGGAGGAGGAGGAGGAGGAGGAGAAGGAGGAAGAGGAGGAGGAGGAGGAGATGAAGGAGGAGGAGGAGGAGGAGGAGGAGGAGGAGGCGGGGGAGGAGGGGGGGGACAAGCTAGGTGCGCTCGCGTCATATCTGACGTCCTTACCCTCCCTCCCATCCCTTGCCATGGCGTAGATCTTCTCTCTTATCGCAAAGTCGGATGTCACAGCATGGCATAGCATTACATGGCATAGCATGGTGTCGAAGACCAACGCGTAGCATGACATAGCATGGCGTGGCGACGCCCCAAGGTGGGGGGGGTTCTGCAGCCCATCAATGAGTCGGCATCGAATGTGTACTGTATTCATTTCCGATGATTTCTTGGGGAGACCATTTTTTAGATTTAAGGGCCTATTTGCCTATTTGGAAAGACCGAAAACCATGCAGGGGCATGGTACTTGAAATAATGACGCCAGCGCTGCAGCGGGAGCACGATTCGGAACGAGCCCGAGCGCGGAAATGAGGCCAGCGCTGCAGCGGGAGCACGATTCGGAACGAGCGGTAGCCCGAAAATGATTCCAGCGCTTCAGCGAGAGCAGCATTTTGTAAAAAGATAAGCGCGGAAGCGCGGAAATGAGGACGCGTAGCCTGACATAGCATGGCGTGGCGACGCCCCAATGTGGGGGGCTTCTGCGGCCCCCCCCAAAAAAAATCAACGAATCGGCACCGAATGTGTAATCACTTCCGATGGTTTATTCAGGGGTGCATTTTCTAGATTCTGGGGCTTATTTGGAAGGACCGAAAACCATGCCGTGGCGTGGCGCTGGAAATAATGACGCCAGCGCTGCAGCGGCAGCACGATTCGGAACGAGCGGGAGCGCGGAAATGAGGCCAGCGCTACAGCGGGAGCACGATTCGGAACGAGCGGTAGCCCGAAAAATGAGGCCAGCGCTTCAGCGAGAGCAGCATTTTGAAAGCAAACCCAAGCGAAAATCCAACTCCCGGGAACCCTGTGCGTAAAAAACAAGTACGCAGAGGAGGGCCAGACATTCCTCGGACGCCACCAGTCGAGAGAGCAGAGTAGTATTCAGATTGTGCAATTGTGGAGAAGGAGGAGGAGGAGGAGGAGGAGGAGGAGGAGGAGGAGGAGGAGGAGGAGGAGGAGGAGGAGGAGGAGGAGGGAAAGGGCCACGAGGTCCACAGCGCAGCTGTAAGCAAGAGAGCGACCTGACGCGGCCGCCGACGCTCCAAGGCGGGAGAGGGCACGCCCAGTGACCTCGGAGGCCGCGCCGGGTTCGTGGGCGGGGCGCTTTCGAAGTATGTGGGCCCCGGAAACGGCAGGGCCGTTTCTTTACCGTTTCCAAAAAAGTGTCCCTTGAAAATGGAAACGGCAAAAGAACGGCGACCGGAAACGGCAAAAGAACGGATCCAGGATCGGTATCCGGAGCCGGAACCGGTCAAAAGACGGCGACGGAGCCGGCAAAAAAGCGGCGTCGGAACCGGCAAGAAAACGGCAAAACGGAACCGGTAAAAGAACGGCCCTGTCGTTTCCAGGGCCCACTGAGTGCCCGGGGCCCTCCCAGACGAGGGGCGGCCCCGTGTGCCCGCGTTCGAGGCGGCAAGCGCCCCGTCTCGGCCCAGGAGGGTTCCAGCCCTTCGTCTGGGGCCCCGCGTGCTCGAAACTGGAGCTCCGGCGAGAGCAGCGGCGGCACTGCTAACTCGTTCGCCGTGGGTTCGACTCGGCGTGGCGTTTTTAGGCAGCGTCCAGCGTCCTCCCGCCCTCCTCCTTCCGATTTCCCTCCTCCTCCTCCTTTTCCATGGTCAGTATTTCCTCCTCGTCCGCCTCCCTCCTCCTCAGCATCCTCTCAGAGCCTTGTTCTGGACGCTCTACACCAGTTTGGAAATCAGCCAGGGCCCCCTGAGCACCCTCAGCCCGAGCCTGAGCCCACTGAGCCCTCCATCCCCCTCATCTGCTCCCTCCTCCCTCCTCTTCCACCTCCACCCGCCCACCCAGCGCGCGCTGGAGCAGGAGGCGGAGGGAGGAAGGAGACATGGGAAGAGGAATGTAGAGGGAGGGAGGGAGGGAGGGAGGGAGGGGGGGCAGGGGGAGGAGGAGGAGGAGGAGGAGGAGGAGGAGGAGGAGGAGGAGGAGGAGGAGGAGGAGGAGGAGGAGGAGGAGAGGAGGAGGAGGAGAGGAGGAGGAGGAGGAGGAGGACGAGGACGAGGACAAGGACGAGGAGGAGGAGGAGAGAGAGAGAAGAGAAGAGAGAGAGAGAGAGAGAGAGAAGAGAAGAGAGAGAGAGAGAGAGAGAAGAGAAGAGAAGAGAAGAGAAGAGAAGAGAAGAGAAGAGAAGAGAAGAGAAGAGAAGAGAAGAGAAGAGAAGGACGAGGAGGAGGAGGAGGCAAAGAGGAAGAGGATGGAGATGAGGAAGAAGAGGAGGGGGAGGAGGAGAAGATAGAGAGAAAGAGAAAGGGGGAGGAGGAGGGACAGAGATCGGGAGGGAGAGCGGAAAGGAGGTTGAGGAGGAGAAGGAGGAGAAGGAGGAGGAGAAGAAGGAGCAGAAAGAGGAACAGGAGGAGGCACAGGAAGACGGCGGCGGCGACGACGATTCACTCCCGCGCGAAGCCCCTAGGGCTCAACTCGAGCCTGGGTCCCCGCCTGCGCTGCGCATGGCCCCGTTTGCCCTTGCGCCGCGCCCCTGAGCCGAGGCAGGGATGGCGAGGGCCCGCGGCCAGGCCGCGGGGGCCCACAACTCTACGGAGGAGGAGCAGGAGGTGGAGGAGCAGGAGGAGGAGAAGGAGGAGGAGACGGAGGGAGGGGTAAACACGAGGAGAATGGAGCACGAGGAGGAAGAGGAGGAGAAGCACGAGGAGGAGGAGGAGGAGGAGGCGGAGGAGGAGGGACCACGAGGAGGTGGAGGAGGAGGAGGAGGAGGACGGAGGAGGAGGAAGGAGGAGGAGGACCAGGACGAGAAGAAGGAGGAGGAGCAGCAGCAGCAGGAGCAGGAGCAGGAGGAGGGGCGCGGTAGGAGGGAGCAGGCGCAGGAGGAGGAGGAGGAGGAGGAGGAGGAGGAGAAGAAGGAGAAGAAGGAGGAGGAGGAGGAGAAGTAGGAGGACGGCGATGGCAGCGGCCACCGCGGCGGCGGCGACGACGACGCATGTGCTTCAGATGGCGCCAACCATCCACTATGCCGATCCTCATCCTCTTCACCCTTTCTCCTGGTCCTGTGCTCGTCCCTCATATCATCCCTGCTCCTGCTCCTCCTCCTCCTCCTCCTCCTTCTCTACTCTTTCTGCGCCTGCACATCACTTCTCGCCCGCCTCCCCCGCATGATCCTCCTCCTCCTCCTCCTCCTCCTCCTCCACCTCCTTTTTGCACATGGCATATGAAAATGCCTGCGTTGGCTCTAGAACGCTGCCCCCACATCCTTACTTCTGCAAGCGTGAGAGACTGGAAGGGGCATCGGCTAGAGGGACGACGGACGTGTCGTGAGGGTTATGGGGAAGCAGTGGAGTTGGAATGATGGTGCGCATCTTTGAACCGGGAGCGTGGGGTTCCCGTCGATCGTTCAAAGCAGGTCTTTCGGGCTCCCCAGGTCCCAATATGTTTTAGGCGTCTTCCTGTTTCAAGAGTCGACATGCTTTAGTGTGTTTTGCTATTCTATGAGAGGGCATGCGCCCAATCTACTTTGTCCGCCTTGCTACTTCATGTTTTTACCGACTTCTTCAGACCGACGTGCATTGATGTTGGAGGCGGACAGTGCAAATTCTTGTGCCTCCCAGGTGCAGGAATACGAAGGCCTCTTCAAGGGGGTCGGCGCCACGTCGAGGGAGCCAGTGTTTGGCAAGAAGAGCACCTCCGTGGGAGACTCGCACAAGGCAGCCGCTCTCTAAATAGTGGATAAGCGAACGCGCCTATTAAGGAGGCGCCCCTTCATCTAGGGTACCGTTGTGTCCTGGCATCTGCGGCCCGTCCTTTGCCGTTTTCACTGGTCGTTCGCCGCCCAAACCTCCCATCTTCGGCCTTCAAGGGTCTTGCGTCCTGACCCCCCGTCGTTAATACACGTTTCGGCTGTAACCAGCCCGTGTAGCCGGAGGAGATAGCAGGAAGAACAGGATGAATCATTAGTGCAAGGTCAGAGATGCGCACAAAGGCGTCCAGATGCTACGTGGGCGACGCTGACGGGCTTCTGCGAATTCTCTGACGATCTCCATTTCAGGTTTTGAACAGCCCGTCAGCTGCTGATTCGGCTCGCGCCGTCTCGATTGTCTCCGACCCGTGTTCTCAGCATTCCGAGTGCGTCTTGCCTCATCTGGCGGTGGGTGGGCCTGGTTGAGAAAGCTTCGGCGGTAAGAGTTCAGAGCGCGAGAGAAAGCGTGTGCCTGAGTTTGCGCGTTCGAAGCAGATTGCTGCTTGGGAATAGTGTCCAGGTGTGTGTACGCGCGTGGGGAAGGCAGGGAACAACAAGTTTCGCCAAAGATACTCACATGACGATGTCATGTTATCTTGGACGCCGCGAAGTTGCTGGTTCGGTCGTACGTGTTCCTCCAGTAGTGTGGCTTCAGAACGGGCCGTGCCATCGAGACATCGACAAGTTGACGTCTCGCCCTCGACGCAATGCTGCGGGTGGTGGCGGAAATCAGAAATTTGTCGATCTGTTTGTGGAAGGCCGGCGGAAGGTCGCGGAAGCCAGCGGAAGTGACACATGGCCCCACGAGAGATGCAGTTCAAATATTTTCTGATGTTTTTGAGTTGGCCACATCGTTACGAGGGTGTGAGTGTGGATCAGCACCAGCGGCGGCGATATCGTGCCCAGTCGAACGCGGACTCGCAGAAGTGAGGGGCACAAATAGTTGCAGGAGCGGCACCAGCAGCGGCGAGAACCTCGTTGCAGAGCCCAGCCACCGCAATCGGGACGGAAGGAGGAGGGAAGGAGGAGGAGGGGGAGGAGCTGGAGGAAGAGGGGTGGAAACGAGGAGGAGGAAGAGGGGTGGAGGAGGCGGAGGAAGGAGGAGGAGGAGGAGAAGAAAGGAGGGTGGAAACAAGGAGGATGAGGAGAGGGAGGGTCAGAAGGGAGAAGGAGAAGGAGGAGGAGGAGGTGGAGGAGGAGGTGGAAGGAGGAGGAGGAGAAAGGGGGGGGAAACGAGGAGGAGGAGGAGGAGGAGGAGGAGGAGGAGGAGGAGGAGGAGGAGGAGGAGGAGGAGAGGGAGGATG